CTTCCCACCCTCCCCCTGCCCCCCCCCGCCAACGTGTATACGTTTCGCATCGCCCGTGTCTCTCTCTTTCTTGTGATCCGTCTCGCCCGTTACCGGTTTCACTCTGTTTCTTTCTTGCTGGTCCTTGCGTGTGACGTCGAACACGCACGCACGCACATACCTACGCACACGCGACGCGCAACGTTGACAAGGGCGAACGCCGACGACAATCTTGGACGCCGGGGGATGCGAGTTTCCTGTGCGTAGTTTCCGCAAACAGGCTCGTGGAAACTTCCGGAAGGCGATGCCGATGCTTTTCGGCAGCGGGGAAGATAAAGAGTAAAAGGAGACATCTTATCGGCTTTCCCTCTCGTGAGGCGCCGCTCCTCTTCCCCCTCCCGCACCGCCTACCACGTCGCCTGGTCTCGCGCGCGCGATGCCATTGCACCGCCGAACGGATCGCAGCAGGAAAGGCTATAAATACACACGCATCGCGCGCGGGGTAAACAAACTTGACCTCAACGGAATTCTCTTATCGGCGATACAGTAGGCGAGCGGTTTTGAGGTTATGTGTCGCGCCCACGTCTTTTGAATTCGACGCGTCGCAGAGACGACAATGAGATAAGTCCCGGCCCGTTGTCTAGGTGCATCTAGGTGCTAGTTCTCTTATGGAAGAGAGGAAACACGACCATTTGCGATTATCCGTTTTATCGAGAATCGTTTGTTCCTTCACGGCGATCGACGGAAAACTTCAGGAACTTTTCGATAGTTCGAATGAGCAACGACACGAAGATGTGTCTCGTTTAATATATCGAACGACGCTCTGGGAGGCCTTCGACGGTCTTTGTTCTCTAATTTCGCGATGCGATTGCTAAAACAAACTTTAATCGCTTATAAAATAAATTCAGTTTTGGAACGTGAATTTTTCTGAGATACTTATTTGTAAAATTTTACGATGAAAGGTTTGAACTTTTTGTTTTGCTAGATAAAGAAAATGTGATTATTAATGTATGTGTTTATACACTTTTGGCTTCCAAATTGGAAAGTCAGTATTAATAGAATGTACATTAAAATAAATCCTTCCCTTCCTATTTTGTTTGTAAAATAATGTTTACATCTAATACTACTTTGTAATATGATAACAATTGACTATTTATGTTTGTTCCATTTCCTATTAAAACATGACTTACAGGTAGGTGATTTAAATGGAGTAACGAGTTTTGATTTCTTTTATTTTTGTAGCGGAATACTGACATTGGTCAGCTACTTGAAGGCTGTGAGCACGTTTGCTGTGTTTGGCTTGAGCAGCGGTCGATACGCTGCTACATTGCAAGAGAAACTTATAGGTGATCCAAAATGAAGTGGACATCGGGTACTCCGTTTAATGAGCAAGTGTGCGAACTCACTCGTGTGTTCTCCCAGTGGAATGAATGTGAACAGACTGTCGTTCTTTATGCACTCTTGCGTATTATACCTGCTGTACAGGCGAGGTTTCTCTCGCAAGCGATAGAACACTCATTGCACTCTGTGGCTGAATTAGATACCAAGGAAATAAATGCCAATAATCCAAGTAATTATCATGTTCATATTTTATACTCGAGAACAATTTCATATGTGATTTTAATGAGATATATTAATATATTATAGAGCAAATATGTTAATAATAAAATATTTTATTATAGATTATATCAATTCGTTGTCGACGGAATCAACAGAGATTGCGATTAATCAACTCTTGACACATTTGCCTTTACTAAAGCCTGGGAATACAGAGTGCAAACAGAGCTATCTGGTAGCGATACCAGAAATAGTAAACCATTGCGTAAGTACGGGACAATATACAGAACAAACGCAGCAGCTTTTGAGCTACACTCTGATTCACCCTGCCATAAATGGTCAAGACAGACGTCTTTTAACTCAATGGCTCAGAGATCTGGAAGATCGTATCAGTAGTACACCACCTATTACCGGTTTCGAAGATTATCCAAATACTCCAATGAGGTGAATCTGATAATGAAATAATGTGATACTAATAATACAATATACTCTCGTATCTGCAGTATGTTTCTAAATTCGAGTTTTCTATTATTATAAGATGGGAGAATCCATGGCAGAGAAACTCCAAACATCACAATGATCAGCCAAATTCATTTAATACACAACCGAGCGGCACTTTTAGTTATTTTCCTACATCGGTTAATCGTCAACGTCGTTCGAATAGCTTGACACCACCGGTAGCGCCGCCGCATCATCTCGAAGTTGTGGATCGTACCAATAACACAAACTCTTCATCTAGACACAAGCCGCGCAGCTTTAGTGTTTCCGGGGATCACGCCGGTAATTTTCAATTATATTTTATATATAGATAAATTTGTATTGTATTCGCACATTTCTTTAAATAATTTTTCTTTTAGGCAATATTATTGGTTTGGGTCCACTGAGTCCACAGAGTTCCTGTGCGAGTAGCGGTAGCGAGGGTCGTTTGGATGACGCTTCGAATCGTTCGCTCGTGAGTGGAATGAGAGGTAAAAATGAGATTTTAATACTGTATCAATATCAATCAGTAGTATATGAAACATCCGAAGATGACATTTCTATGATTTCACATATTATTATGTTATCTAAGTCTATATCTATATCTTCAAAATATTGTGGAATCTTAATTACGGTCTTTCGGAGTCATCTGTAATTATACTTCTTCACAATTTAGAATATTTATATATAATTATAAATTATTCTTTTTAGACG